GGAAGCATGCCCACCTTAACAACATGGCAGTAACACAGAAAAAGCCCACGGTACGCCCGGATCGCAGAGGTACTCACATGAGCATAATGCGACGGAGTCCATGAGAACCAATCAATTTGCATTGCAAAACAAGGTGCGGTTGAGACTTTTCTGCGTGACGGACAGCCGGTAACCAATAATATTGCGGCAATGGCCGAGAAGGGCTCGGTATCCGTTCTACTTTCTAATACTATTCCCTAATCTGGCTCGATTGACTTTGTCCAATAATTCCACTGGCCATCAATTTGGGCGTCTTTGCACATTCATACCGGCCGCCTGTGTTACCTCACCCTACCAGTAAGAACGCTCAAATTGAACATCGGGAGGTCAGGGAACGGAAGCTTTTGGTCCTCTGTGTCTTTTGCGCTTTCCTTGCTCCGATCATCGGTGAGGTCTTTCTTGCCACGAGTCTGCTTTTCACCCACATCCTGAGGCAAAAGGTTCGTAGCATTGGGCTGTTTCATCTGTTATCATTATTAGGAATAGTGTTGAAAGCTCAATCTATACTGTACTTACAGCTCCATAAATATTATTTAACCAGGGTAGGTGTTTCCGCGATGAATATGTGTAAAGTTCGTTCTTTTCCGTGTACCTGATGCCAAGAAACAGCTCGACTCCGTTCAACCTCCCATGCTTGTAGCATTTCGGCAGCAAACCATAATCACGGTTCCGCCTGAGCTTCTTTTTCTCGCTTCGTTCGGTCTTGTTTCCTACCGCCATCATGCGACTGACTGCTGACAAATGTTTAATAGCTGTGAATGATGATCCATAGAATGAAAAAGTGAGTTATCTTGTGGGTATCAACTCGCGCCTTATATCCAGCAGTCGCATGGTCATATGAGGTACGGGACCAGTTCCGGTCTTTTTCCTATTTTAGGTTGTGTTCACCTACGAGAGTGCTTATGGTGTGGCTATGGCACCGCCACGTCGGTTCTCCGGGATTCTGGTACCAAAAACAAAGGCGATGTTCTATCTTTAGTGCGCCCATTGTGTTCTGACTACTTCCCTTGTGTGGCACTAGGCGGGTCTCTTTTCATCCTTTTGTGATCGAAGTTGCTTGCATGTTTGCTTAGTATTAGACAAACGTGGCTCATCCAAATTTGTTAGATTGGCGAGTCACGGCTTCAACCAGAGGGCATTTTCCAAAGGATTCAGCGAGTGTCCTTTTGGCAAAGTAGCACATCAATTTGGCAATGTGGATGCGACGCTCTCGCGTCATTTCTTTCTTTTTTCCATTTGACGATCCAAATTCCTTGCCTTGCTGGTTCAAGAAGGGTCTAAAAAGAAAAGAGCGCGCAGCTGACTTGCGCTTGCCTGTTCTCAAACAAACGCATGCGTAAATACTGTATCGCGAGTGTGCGAGAGTTTAGACAAGACTGAAAATCAATCCCAAGTCGTGATACCGTACAGTACTCGTGGGAAGAATGATTGGTTATTTGAACGTCTCCCGTACTGTAATTGTAATGCCAATTTCTTCATTTTTGATTACGTGCTGGCCTGCGACATCGTCCCTTGGAGGATCTGCCACTAATGTTTGATTGGCCGTCTACAACGAAACCAATGGCAAATCAGCAGCAAAGTGTGGAGAGGAAACAATGGGGTGTTCTCGCACGAATTTCTGTATTTATGTGTTGTATTGTACTATAGTATATTGTACAATACGTACAGCCTAGAACAGTACAGTACGCTGCA